GGTAACATGAGCTTAGGCTATCAAGTGGCGGGAGTCAGCTGTAGCCGAGTAGCCCTGGCCACCTTCAGACAGAGGATGCACGCTGTAGTTTTATGCAGCCCTCATCACCTTCGTTTGCAACTGGAGCGTTTTTGTTGCGCTTTTTTTCTTAGCTGGCTAGTATTTCTCCCCCTAGACCAGGAGACGAACATTTCTTCCATTTAGTAAAGTCTAGTCTGTGGTATTTCTATTCACTACTGTCTCCATCGCCCCGGCAGCCCCATCTTTGGACTGAATCACTCAAAACCCTTCCCGGAGTTACTAAGTTACAAATTGTTTGTCAATTCCCCTGAAGCCTTTATCTAAGCCCACACTTTTTCAGTGTAGCCCAAAGGTCAGAGGGGAAACAGAATTATTCTGTCATATCTTCTGGGGAAAGCTAGGCTCTGCCAGAGCTGAACTTGGGTTTTGAGAGCCTCATTTTGGATCCACTGTGGTTCCTTCCCTATGGATTTGTTGAAATGAGCCAGTCTCTCTCCCATAGCACAAGGAGATGTCTCTCAAGTCTTCAAATTAGACATGTCTAGCCAAGAGTCTAAACTTCTAAACACACACATGCATGCACGAGAGTGCACGTGCACACACACACACACACACACACACACACACACCCAGATGTAGCACAGGGGGCTGTCACTTAAATGCTACACATTTCCCCTGCCAGTTAAACTGATATCACATGCATGTTATAGGTATTTCTGCCTTCCAGTGGCCTCTGCCTCTCATGTAGAACTATATGCATTTTTGGAAAAGGATTCTGGGTAACAATTTGTGTTTGGCTCTGCGATTACAGATATGAGCCTGAGGAACAAAGGCTTGTTCCCCTGATTACAAATTCTCATCCAAAGCCCACCCTCGGTGTGGAAGAACCTAGGGGACATACAGGAGAGGCCACACCCACGTGTTACCGTCTGTGACAGATATTTGTTGATTGCTTTCCCAGCGTCTACACCCTTCTAGGATCCCAGTTTCCTCAGCTGTGTTGTTTGGGTGCAATGGTGTCCACTTCCAGCTCAGAACAAGAAACTAGTGTATCTTATAGACTTAACCACAGTTCCACGGCAAACACAGACACTTGTCCCAAAGACACTGAATCGGTTTTCCCTTTTCTATCAGTGTATGTTAATTGTATAAAATAAGGGGTTTTGTTATGACATTTTCATTAATGTTTGTAATGTATTTTGATCATATTAACTCTTTAAAATTTTTATCTCCTTTCTCCTTCTCACTAGTCCCCTTCCTCTTTCCAAACAGAGACAGATTGTTTTGTCGTTTGTTTGTTTTTGGTTTCTTGAGGGATCATCTCATATAGCTCAGACTGGCCTAAAACTCACTGTGTAGCTGAGACTGGCCTTGAATTCCTAATCTTCCTGCCTCAAGACTGCGTCTTGGGATTACAGGTGTGAGCTACTATGTTTTGCTAGAGACTGAATTGTTTTTTAAAAAATATTTTAAGGGGGCTGGAGAGATCACTCAGTGGTTAAGAGCAGGTACTACTCTTGAAGAGAGGGTCAGTTCAGCTCCCAGCATCAACATGGCAGTTTACAACCGCCTGTAACTCCAGCTCCAGAGGATTCAGCGTCCTCTTCTGGCCTCCATGGACACTGCATTCATGTGTACAAACCCATACTCACATACACATATACATATAATTTTTTAAAATGTGAACTAATGGAGTGAGAGATGGCTCAGTAGTTAAGAGCACTTAGTGCTCTTGTAGTTGACCTGGGTTTGGATCCCAGCACCCACATGATAGCTTATAAGTGTCTGTAACTCCAGTTCCAGGGAATCCAACACCCTCGCTCTGACATCTTTGAGCAACAGGCATACATGTGGTGCACATACATACATGCTGCAAACACTAATATACATCAAATAAACATTTTAAATGTTTTATTAGCATATATTATTTATGCACAGTTATGGCATTTCCATGATGTGTTTCAGCCATGTTCATCTTCCTTCCACCGATCTGCTTCCTTTTCCTATCGCCCTTCATGACTTTTCTTTCTGCAGGTCCAATATTGCCTTGGAGTTGCTTACAGAGGCATGGATGAGGGTTTGTTTACAGGAGCATGGGCACCTTACCAGTGGCTACATCACTGAAGAAAATGTCTTTTCCTTGCCCACCAGCCATTAACTGTTTAAATCCTCAGGGAAAGGAAGTGCTGCATAAGCCCCTCTCCCCTCCATGACGAGATGTTGATGGACCCGGCCCTGTGCAGGTAATCACAGCTGCTGTGAGTGTAAGAGTGTAACAGCTCTGCCATGCCCAGAAGTCAGCACTCCACACCGCCTCCACCGCTTCCCCTGGCTTTTGCATTCTGTTCACCCCTTCTTCCTGCATTGTTTCCTGTACCTTGGAGGGGGGGATATGGAGGCTCTCTTTAGGGCTGAGCACTTAAAGTAAGTCACTTATTCTCAGCACTTTCACCAGTGGCTCTCTGCAATTACCACTGCCCACTGCTGAAGGAAGCTTCTCAGGCCTGGAGAGGTGGCTCAGCAGATGAGAGCACTGGTTGCTCTTGCGGAGGACCTGCGTTCGATTCCCAGCATCCCCATGGCGGCTGACAACTGTTCCTAACTCTAGTTCCAGGGGTTCCAACGCCCTCTTCTGACCTCTGTGGGCATTGCATGACATGGGTGCACTTACATGCATGCAGGCAATACATTCATGTACATAAAAAAATTAATAACATAAATAAATAAAAGAAGCTTCTCCAACCAAAGTTGGCAGTAGTGCTAATCTATGGGCATAAACAGTTATTTAGAAAGAAACTTGACAGGCATCTCATGTCTATTTGGCAAAACAACAGCAGTAGCTTCCCCACTAGGGCTTGTGACCCCACCACTGTGGACTTCTGTCAGGGCTTACCGTACCACATGTGAATCCCCTCCTGCAGAGCAGGCCTCAAATCCAATCAGAAAGCAGTTGGTTGCCTCCATAACTGACTTGCACTATTGCACCAGTGGGCACATCTTGCCTGGCCAGATAGTAGTGTACCCAGGGCCCACAGAAATAAGACTATTGCTAGAATTCTCCCTCTGCCATCAGCATAGTGCCTTCCAGCTTTATGAGGGCCACCCAGCAGGGAGGAGGCTTCCAGTTCCAGCCCAGCTCCAGCTTCATTTCTCTTTATCCTACAACCAGGGTGTGTGGTGAGACTGAATTGTTTTGCTTGAACAATCAAAAAAGGCAGAACTAGAGCCAAGCAGAGTGGCACTCGCCTGTCCCAGAGTCAGGCAAGGGATCAGGAGTTCATGAACAGTCTTTGCCACATAGTCAGACATCTCCATAAACACCCCCACATAAAAAAGGAGAGAGAAAGAAAGGAAAAGCAAAGCATGGTTCTTTCTGCTGCTTGTGATGGGGTACAGATAGACCTGGGAATCCTGATGTTGCCTTGGGACTACAGCAGATGGCTTGCCTAAGAATGTGGTCAACTCCTGGATTTAGGGAGTGCTAAAGTATACAATCCGGGGAAGGCTAGGAAGAGAAGGCACAGCCCACGCTGGGTAAAGGCTCTCCAGTGTGCAAACCCTCGGATCATACGTACACCTCAGCAACCCCTCAGTTATCTCAGTAAGTAAGCTCAGTAAATTCATCGGTTCCCCTGTAAAACTTTAATCAAACATTGACTTGACACTAGAACCTTAAAAGGGTTAATAAGCATTGCTTAGCATCCCCAGGAAAAGAAGTCTTACAATAGATAGAAAATTTGTTGGTGCTATTATATCTCATAATTATTTTTTTTAAAAAAGAAAAGAAAACGAGAATGTAAAGGATGTTAAAAGGATAGGGGAATGGATATATGTTCTGAAATAGAAAAAAATGAGAAAGCTTAAGCAAATGAAGGTCTGTGTAGGTTTCTTATGATATATAAAGGATGAGACAAAAATAATACACATAATCTTGAGATGGCTACAATCATAGTTTAGTCAACTAGTTTAAGGAACGAAATATATATCTAGTCAAAGTTTATCCAAGAATATTTGGTTTTTTTACCCAAGCCTTATCTACATAGCACATGATAATTAAATATACCAGACTGGTTTAACACCCATAGTTTGAGGCCTATACGAATGTGATAAGAGGAACTTAAAGGACAGTTTTTGCCCCTTGCCCTCCAAGGTCAACTAAGTTCCAGGGGACTATGGAACATCTATCAAAATGTCCTGTAATTTTGGTGAGTCACCTGTCCTCTTGTTCAGGGAGCCCATGGAGACCCCACGAGATGGACTTGAACTGGTGTCCAGTCTACAAAGAGGAGGGTCAACTCAGAGGAAACATCTCATTCATGCTTCCAAGTGAAGCCAGACCTGGTCCAGCAGGACCTTTAACTTAGCTTCACATAGATGGAACTGGTGAAAGAAAGTAGCCAGAAGCTCCTACCAAGCCCATGTGACTCCAGAGGAACAGGTCCACAAATGACCTTAAGTGTAAAAAAATTGATTCATTTGGGCCAAGTGTATGGTCTTCAACACCCAAAAGGAGGTATAACCAAAGAGTAAAGTCATCAGTATATTTCTTTAAGAGTTCGGGATTAAACTTCCCAGACATTGATTTGTTCCTAACCAGATAGTGCTGCTCAGACGTCAGACTTCAAATCTTGGTCTCCAATACTGTAGTGCCCACCCATAGCTAAGGGAGACAACCAGCTATTGTTCTAAAATGATGGATAATTTTGTTTTCTGATCCTATCTAGAAGCCTTTGAGAGGGAACTGACACTGACTCTAACCACTCCAACAGCTATCAAAATACCTGAAAGCAAATCCTGAATTCATCACTCTAGAGTCCAGCCTTGGAAGACAAAAGAAAAATGAGGAGGCCCCCAATAGAGGGATGCTTTTGGAAGCCCTTGTAAAGAAATTCCAATGGACTCTCACATGAACATTTGAAAATTGCCCTGTTGACTTTTTCTAGTTCCCTATCTAGAACTTGTAATGCTAATTACTCTTACCTTTACTTCTCCTTCACATCTCCTGTTCATGATTCAAGGACTTTCTTTTCCGCCTAGAGGTAAGAGTTACACAATTTGGGAGTCTTTTAGATAGACCCACTGACGGGGCACCCCAATTGCCTCACCCTGCATCCCTGTTCAGCATGGAAGAAATCAGAGCGATCTGCGTTCCTATTCCCTATTGGCAATTTGGGTATCCTCTTCAGAGGATGGTGTTTCTAGGAATTGGCTAAGCAGTTAGGGTAAAAAGACCCCAAAGAAAAGTACCCAGTTTCTTGGCTGAAACTCACAATGTCCTTGGGCCTCTTAGCAACATACTCTGTTCCAAATGCCAAAAACGTCAGTCGGAAGTATTTGGGAGCGTGTATCTAATCCTTAAAAGATTTTAGGGTTACCTCATCAGAGGGGAGAATGTTAGAGTAGCCAAAAGCCCCATAAAAAAAATAAATCAATCAAAGAAGATAACATGAAGTTATCAGAAAAAAAGTGATGGGGAGCTTTGGGAGGAGTTGGAGGGGAGGGAGTGGGCATGGATTTGATCAAAACACCTTATATGCATGTATGAAATTCTTAATAAATTATTTATTTTAAAAAGAAAAAAAAAAAGAATGTGGCCAAGCCCGAGCCACAGAAGCAGGCAGTACAAAGGAGCTTGCACCCCTGCACTGTTTGGTTGTAAAAACCAACCTATGGAGAACAGAAAGAATGCTAATCAAAAGCCTACACAGTGTGGCTCAACCTGCTACTCTCTGCTTTAACCAGTGTCTTCCCCACAGCATTTTCAATTCCTGTTGAAACACAGATAAGTCTAGCTCCAACCAATGTAGAATTTAGTCCAACTGAAAAGACATTCCATTTTCTTTTTCTTTTTTTATTTTGAGATAGGGTCTCATGTAATTCAGGCTGATCTTACCTTGTTATGTAGTCACTGATGACCCCCAAGTCTTGATCCTCCAGCCTCCACTTCCCAACTGCTGGGATTACAGTTGTGCACCAGTAAGACAATCCCAATATTTCTACATTGTAGCACAAGTCTATTTAGAGGTCTATGTCTTTTTGGAGTTTATTAGGAAGCACATTTAACATACGTTTAAGCATGGGTAGGAGGAATTAACCGAAAGAAAGAGGCGGAGAATACACAGCACGGAGGAGCATGGATGTGGCCTTCTCCAGAGAGCATCACCATACACACAGCTTCTAAAAAAGAAATGTAATCTTCTGATTTGAATGGGCGGAAATGTGGGGAAAAGATGTGGCAACAATTTTTCTTTTGTTATAGAAAATGTTTTTAAAGGGAGAGAAGTCAAACTTTTTACTATTATGGAAACACCAAAAATAAATTTCTTTTTGAAGACCCAAGGCATTGGAAACATTTAGTTTCACTACTTAACATTATTAGATATCCTCTATCTGATTGTTAGAAATTATTCATTTCCTCAAAGTGAGAGAATAAATTGGTTGGGGATCAAGCTTGCTCTGTGCACTTTCTCTGCTAAAGGTGAACACTCAGGCCTTCAGCACCATGAGAGTGGTCCTGCTTTTGAGCATGCTGGCTCTTGGAGCTGCCTCCATTTGGGCCATAGCTGTGGAACCTTCCATCAGCACCATGGTGAAACAGACCTTGACGTTGCTGTCCACTCACCGAGCTCTGCTGACAAGGAATGAGGTAAAGAACAATTTTATCACTCCAGGTGTTTTTTTAAACCCCCCTTGGGGGAAGGGGTACTTGCTATGTAGCCCTGGCTAGCCAAAAGTTGCTGTGTAGACCAGGCTGACTTCTAACTCCTAGAGGTGTCCTGCTTCTGGCTCCCAAATGCTGGGATTATAGATGTGTGTTACCACGCCTGTCTCTACAGTTCTTTAAAATGCATAAACAATCACTTGCAGTGGTTCATTGCCACCTATAATTATCTACTACAAATAATGAGATCAGGAGTGTGTTAGCATTAGCTCACAGGTGAAACCACACCACGGCAAGCCTTCTATTAAAAGCCCTGAATGCGTGAGTACTTTAGAAATGATTCTATGCCCTTTGCTTTGCAGACGGTGAGGATTCCTGTTCCTACACATAAAAATGTAAGTTAAATTATGGCTCAATACAATAATGGGGGAGGGCATCTCACTAAGGCTCAAGTTCCTGGGTTCAAGTTAGTCTCCTGTCTCACGGAAGTGGCTGGGACTACAGACCTGTACCGCCATACCCAGCAAATCATGAGCTGTCATGAAACAGCTGGATTTTCCCTTTTACTTTTGTTGTTGATGATTCTTAAATGGGTGGATGTGAATGTATGTACTTATGAAAATCAAGAATGAGAAAGGAGTGTAGTGGCAAATGATTAATCCTAATACTTGGGAGGCTGAGGTAGGAGTACCATGTGTTTGAAGTCAGGCTAGGCTACGTAATAAATTCAAGGCAAGCCTGGATTGTACAGCCAGACCCTATATTTAAAAAAAAAACCCACAAAAATAAGGGGCTGAAGAGATGGCTCAGAGAGTAAGAGCACTTTGCTGCTCTTGCAGAAAACCCTGATTTAGTTCCCAGCCTCCCATGGAGACTCACAGTTGTCTGCCACTCCACTCCCAGGAGATCCAGTGCCTTCTTCTGGCCTCCATGGGCACTAGACATACATGTGATGCACATACATACATGCAGGCCAATACTCACACACATTAAAAAATCTTTTTTTAAAAAGAGAAATGAATGACTATCAGGGGGCTGGGGATGTAGTTCAGTTGGTAGCACCCTTGTCTAACATGGCAAGCTCTGGATTCATTCCTCCATAAGCTAGGCATTTGAGTACATGCCTGTATTATCAGCACTGGGGAAATGGAGGCAGGAGGATTAGAGGCTCAAGGTCATCCATCGTCAGCTACATATTGACTTAGAGGTCAGGCTGGGCTCCATGACACTAAAAATAATAAATAAGCAAATAAGTAAGCAAATAAATCGATACTATGAATGACTTTTAACTAGCAGAATCCGTTATACAGAAAGGTCAGGCCTTCTGGTGAGACCACCAGTTCTTCATCCCGAAGAGTCTCACATCAAAGATCGCAGAGCTCCACACAGCGTTCGAGGTGCCTGCTGATCCCGCTCAGCTCTGTTGTCTATGGGCCTTCATTCCAGTGCAGTTCCAGGTGCCTGCTGATCCCGCTCAGCTCTGTTGTCTATGGCCACCTTCATTCCAGTGCAGTTCCAGGTGCCTGCTGATCCCGCTCAGCTCTGTTGTCTATGGCCACCTTCATTCCAGTGCAGTTCCAGGTGCCTGCTGATCTCGCTCAGCTCTGTTGTCTATGGCCACCTTCATTCCAGTGCAGTTCGAGGTGCCTACTGATCCCCCTCAGCTCTGTTGTCTATGGGCCTTCATTCCAGTGCAGCTCTTTTTTCTTGCCTTTTTCTTTTGTAGTGCTTGGGGTCAGGCCCAGGCCCAGGCCCTTGCACATGCCAAACAAACACTCTGCCCCTGAGTTACAGTCCCAACCTGCTGTATATCTTTCTGAAAGTATTAATAGTTTAGGGATATAGTCTTAGATAATAATTAGTGGACATTAAAATATGTAACAATGGCCTGTAATTACCATTTCTATACAGTCAAATGATTGTGACTGCGTCATGAGATTGTATACTTTTGAAATATATTGTTATCATATTCAAATGTAAAATCCATTATTTTGCTAGTCTAAATAGAATGAAATTACCAGCCTGACTTGCAAAAGAAAACACTGCCCAGAGCTCAACTAGTAATGAAATTTCGATACACTTCCTGATAGTTCATTTCTGATTAAGTAGTTGGTTTTTGAGGGAGGGGAGGTTGTTTTGTTTTGTTTTGTTTTATAAGACAAGGTCACACCACATATCCCAGGACAGTTCAGGCTGTCCTAACTCTGTTTCCCAAATGCTGAGATTACAGACATATGTCATCACACCCAGCCCAAGGAATTTCTTAGTGTCTTTTGCAACCATAAAACTCCAGCTGCCTGTTGTAAATTTTACCTCAGTATAAAGTGATTTGCCACTTAGAGAAGGAACAAGCGAAGCACTTTGGAGAAGAATTCATGTAGATGCCACAAAACTAAGCTTGACTTTTTGCATCATTTTTTTCCTCTTTTTTTTGCTTTGTTTTGGTTTGAATTTTCTTTTGAAACAGGGTCTTATGCAGCTCAGGCTGGCCTCAAATTCACCATGTACCAGAGGCTAGCCTTGAATTCCTGATCTTTCGGCCTCTACCTCCTGAATGCTGAGATTACAGATGTGCACTACCACACCTGGGATTTTCTGATTTTTGTACTGATAAATTTAAATTGCACATATTTCTTGTGTACAGTGATATTTAGAAATATGGATGTTTTGCGGGATGGCTGGCAAACCCAGTTCCTGCTACCTTGTGCTGATCGTTTGTGTTTTTAAAATCTTCCTCATTCAGCACCAGCTGTGCATTGGAGAAATCTTCCGGGGAATAGACACTCTGAGGAATCAAACTGCCCATGGGAGTGCTGTGGAAAAGCTATTTCAAAACTTGTCATTAATAAAGAGATACATCAGCCACCAGAAAGTAAGATGCAAACACTCCACAGGAGCTCTGTTAGTCAGGCTGCACTTGTTTTTCAGGCACTGACGGTCTGTTCTTTTCACAGGAAAAGTGTGGCGAGGAGAGACGAAGGGCGAGGCAGTTCCTCGATTACCTGCAGGAGTTTCTTGGTGTGCTGAATACTGAATGGACCTTGGAAGACTGAGACTGAGCTGGATGAGTGAAGACAGGACTTCAGCTTTTATTTTAAATTAGTTTTTAAACGGATGCATAAAACCACAAAATTATCCAAATTAAGGGGTTACCATGTGCTATTT